AAGACACTGCAAGGCACGTCAAAGTAAATCTATAAGTAAGGGACGCAGTGACTCAGTGGCTAAGATGCTGAGTTTATCAATCAGAAAGATCGGCAGTTTGGCGGTTAAAATCCCTAGTGCCTCGTAACGGAGTGAGCTCCTGTTATTTGTCTGAGCTTCTGCCTACCTAGCAGTTCAAAATCACATAAAAATGCAAATAGAAAAATAAGGACCACTTTGGTGGGAAGGTAATAGTGTTCCGTGCACCTTCGGCGCTTAGTCATGCCGGCCACATGACCATGGAGATGTCTTTAGACAGCACTGGCTCTTCAGCTTTGAAACAGAGATGAGCACTGCCTCCTAGAGTTGGGAACTACTAGCACATATGTGCGAGGGGAACCTTTACCTTATATCTATAAGTATATATTTAAGCATAAGTAAAGTTGCAGCAGATTGTCAGTGTTTTAGCCTTTTCCAGCTTGCGTACACACCAGCTACAATATATGGACTTCAACCCCCCAAATTCTCAGCAAATAGCCATGCTGGCTTTCAGATTCTAGAAGATGAAGTCTGCAGATCTGGAGAATGCTGAAGTGGGGAATAGTATTCTTCAGTACAGTACAGTATTGGAAATAAAATACAATTTTACGTCTGCAGCAAAATAAATACAACAGCACTAAAATTGTATTTTTAAATTAGCAGACTGAAAAACAAATTGCCAGAGCAGTGTGAATATGAAAATATATTTTTTCTGGTCTAGTTAAAATCAATTGTTAATCCCCTTTAAGAAATGAAAGTGTCTTATTTTCTATGTGATGAACTGTAAAAGTGGTGATAGTTTGCATGTGATGAAGTATCAGTGATATATTAAAAAAAAAAAGGAGTAGGGCCTTCTAATACCAGTAGGGTGGCTTCAAGTTTGAAATGGTAAATGTACAAATTAAATACTGTACTTTTGTTTTAATTTGTCTCTTGTGTATATTTCAAGCAAATTCTGTACATTTTTTTAAAAAAATGCATATGTGATTAGCATTGTTATAGTCTTTTTAGTTATAATCTGGTTAAAATGCAGAATTTTCATGAGGACAGAGTGAGATAGTTCCTTGGTTAACAATGCAAATGCCAACAGTGTCAAATTTGTGTTCACCTAGAATTAGTAAAGCTTTTATGTTCCTATAGTTTAAGTATGGAAAGTCACACTGAGATGACATTCAGAGCAAGAATACTCTGCTTTCAAAGGTGCTTTTTCAGAGGTAACTGGACTTTCTTATTTTTCTTTGAAGACATTTTACTTCTCATCCAAGAAGCTTCTTTTTTAAAATAATTTAATTATAGTTTTTTCTTTAACATCCATAAGTGCTTAGTGAACAGTGCATTGTCAGGGTCAATATACTCAAGGCGCAATACTAATAATACTGATACTATTTAGATATACATATTCATAATCTTTCAACTTCCAGCATTTGTGTATACATTGTAATAGTAATACATTCTATTATATATCAGTATACATAATACTATTTACCCAATTTCTACTTTCTACCTTTTTTTCTAACTCTTAAAAAAATAGCCACCATATTAAGAAGCATTCTATATCTATCCATCATCACTTGCCCTTTTTAAAATTTCAACTCAATAAGAGTCAATTTGGTAAAAAAGTCAATTTGGTAAATCTTTCATGTTTCTCCCTTGTATCTCTTTACATCACGCTTATTTAATCTCAGGTATTTCTTCTGCCTCAATACCTATCTCTTGCTGTTGGAATTCTAGAACACCCATCTGTAGTTTTTTCATCACTTTTGAGAGATCTTTCTCTTTATTCTCTTCTATATTTTGAACTCTTAAAGAGTAATCTGTCTGTTCCATTTTAAGAATTATTACGATCTCTTCCATATCTTTATCTGCTTGTCTCATTTTTTTATTTATCTCCTCTATTCTTTTCTCAGCTCCTTCTTGTTTCTCCTCTATTTTCTGAATTTTTTGTTCATCTTTTGTTGTCATTTGCTGGGGGTTTTCTAGTCTCACATCTGTCTCCTGCATCAGTTCCATCATCTCCCTATGATTCCTTGTCGTATCTTCCTATTATATTCCTTGCAGACAGCTGGTCATTTACATTCTTTTAGAGAGTCATTAAGGCTACCTGGACGTTTATCTATGTCATCAGGGTCACCTGAATAGTGCAAATGCATGTGGAGCCTTCTTGGAACTGTTAAGAGTTGTAGACCAGAGACAGATGATGTCATATCCCCCCTCCCTCTGTTGAGAGAGGGCTGTTCAATTTTGACATAGATGGCCTCTTTTGAACAGCCCTTTCTCAATACAAGGGAAGGGATACTCAGCTGCCTGATGACACAGATAAACCTCCAGATGGCCTAAATGACTCTCTAAAATGCAAACGACTAGCTGTCTGCAAGGAGTATAATTCCTTCCATTCCCCACCATCCAGCCAGAGCTGAAGAAGCTTTTTGGATGAGAAGCAAAATGTCTTAACACACACACACACGCACACACATGAAAGTCCAGTTGCCCCTTGAAAAAGGTTGTCCTTTGGCACAACCCTCACCTAGATGACAGAACCTCCATAGGCAATCTGCTTTCAAGTGCATTTTTAAAACAGCTGCTTGTAGTCCTACCAGGCTTTTACAGGGAAGATTGTGTTCTCAAGGTTTGACTGTAACTGCTGTGAAAGATTCTGGAGAATGGAATTTGGAGGCTGGTGCACTGGTCCTGGCCGATGGAGGCCTCTGCTGCATAGATGAGTTTAACAGCATCAAGGAACATGACAGAACAAGCATCCATGAGGCCATGGAGCAGCAAACCATCAGTGTTGCCAAGGCTGGGTAAGTGTGTTTAAAATGTTAATATTGCAGTTGTACTTTTTTAAAACTTATTGATCCTTGTGCTAATATTGTAGGATTGCTTGTGTGATGAAATAGTTTAAGGCAGTGGTTCCCAATGTGTGCTGCATGCCCCACAGAGGGACAATTTGATTTTTAATGGGGGCAATTCAAACATGAGCTATTAACTGAATTTTTGAAAGCCCACTAATTATTCTTATATATTTGTGATGAAACATCTGTGTTCCATTTACCTATTGTTGCCTTTGTTAAAGTGCATTTCCTATGGCCTGGTCTGAAAAGGATAACCCAGCTGGGGGGAGGAGAGAGCAACTGCCAGCCAATCAGATGTATTCCTACAAAGGCTCATGTGACTAGCAGTGTGTGTGTTTGTGTGTGTGTGTCTCTCTCTTTCCCGTGGGCTTTGCTGCTGGGTGATTGCAGGGCGAGTTGATCTGTGGGGAGACAGAGTGGGTGGCTACTGGGGGAAGCCCAACAGTGAGAATACAAAACCAGGACCCAAGTTTAAGTAAGAAATTGTTAGATTTACAATTATTTTTAGTCTGTGTTTTTCCAGACCGTGTTATACAAGACTTTTCCTCTCAGAGCAATCTGGGGCTGGAGCACGCATGCATAGGCCTTGCCAGGCCTGTGTGATTCACCTCTACCTATTGAACTACCAAAGCATTTTCCCACTAAGCTACAGGTTCATACCGAGTGGGCAAGTAGGGAGGGGGGGGGGTCATAGAATCTACTGTCTTTCGTTCTTTTATTTTTCTCTTTCATGGATGCCATGTTCTTTGGAATCTTGTTTAAACCAAGCTAATGGACTTTTAGTCTTCCTCCGCATGAGTAGGAGTACACTTTTTGAATAGTACGAATTATATGTCACGGGGGGGAGGGGGGCATCAGGATTTTAGAGATGCTTAGGTGGGGCATGGTCAAAAAAGGTTGGGAACCACTAGTTTAAGGGTACAAAATAAGCCTGAAAGATCCAGACTCCACTCCCCATTTCATTATGAAGCTTTTGGAATAAGCCAGCTTCAGTCCATATCTGCCCATCCATCTCACCAGCCTCACAGAGAATAAAATAGGAACAGAATGGAAGAAGAAACATGCCTTGGAGGAATGGTGGACTAAATGAAGCAAACAAAATATTAAAAAGTTTTGATATTTATGTATTTACTTACCAAGCACATCTAAATTATGTTAAAGTAACCCAAATGTCTTTATAATCCCCAAGGCATGTCATAACTTTTGCATACCCCTCATGTTTGGAAATTGAAAGTTGAAAAACATTGACATGCCCTGCGAAGTAATTAAACATTTTCAATTCTATTACTGAGATCAGAGACAAAACAATTTAACTTCAATTTTTTTAAAAAACTGTGTTCTATAAGGATATTATAAATCACGACCCATCTAGATGGGTTGTATATGGACGTTATAGATTGCAACCCAGCCCACTCAAAAATAACAGAGATTACAGTGGGCACTCTGCAGCTCCAAAGCTCTTTTACAGCCCCTTGATATCTTGGGTGTATTACAGCATTTTAACATCCTTCCAACTTTTTTTGAAATTGCCAGGTGAAGAAGCAGCAGCAGCTTTTGATTAGCTATTAGCTCTCATTCCACACACACACACCCCCAATCTCCCGTTTGAGATTACCACACTAAATTGTTAAAATTTGCAGCAAAGCTTTCTGGATGTGTATAAAAGCTAGATGCATGAGAAAATAATGCACTTTGGTTTTATGTTTACATCACCCTTGTACCAATGTAAGTCTGATCATAAACACGAACTTGAAATAACCATTACTGGATACTATTTTCAGCAAAAATGAAAATCCATTTTTAGTCAAGAGCGCAATGAAACTTGTTTGGTGCTGCCGATGGAATTTTAGAACCTTTTTTCCATTCCAAGTATGTGTTCCGGCGTTCCAAATTTTCCCTTCCATATTTAGCAATCCTTATGGCATTATGCAAAGGGGTCAACTCTCATTTCCTTTTTGAATCTCTGTTGATACTGGCTTCAAGTCAAAATGCTTTTCCCATGTTGCGTACTGTTACAAATATGAAAGCTAAGATGATTGGTGCTGTATTTGTTCCCATTCAATATGTGAGGTAAGGTCTAAGATGGCACCAACTAGAAATAGATCAAACCTAACTCAGATTTAGAACAGCTGCCTGGCTGCCTGCAACAACGGTTATGCTATGACTACTAGGAGAAAAAATATCCTTCTGGTTCTTTGAAAACAAATCTGGGGTCAAGGTCAAACAAATTAAAGAAGGCAAAAGCGTATTGTATTCAAGAGCTGCCATAGAAATTCTTACTACAAGTCAGACTGTTTGTATGTTGATTCTTTGAGAATATGCACAATAATTTAAGACGTGTATGTATTTACAATAGGGATGCGGTGGCTCAGTGGCTAAGACGCTGAGCTTATCAATTAGAAAGGCTGACAGTTTGGCAGTTCGAGTCCCTAGCGCCACGTAATGGAGTGAGCTCCTGTTACTTATCCCAGCTTCTGCCAACCTAGCAGTTCGAAAGCACATAAAAAAGCAAGTAGAAAAATACGAACCACCTTTGGTGGGAAGGTAACAGCGTTCCATGTGTCTTTGGTATTTAGTCATGCCAGCCACATGATCACAGAGATGTCTTTGGACAGTGCTGGCTGTTCGGCTTTGGAACAGAGATGAGCACCACCCCCTAGAGTTGGGAACAACTAGTACATATGTGCGAGGGGAACCTTTACCTTATGTATTCACAGTGCATCAAATAAGTATACAGTAGCTGTATGTATAAGTGGCCTCTATCAGAGTGGAAATGAAAGTGGATGTGAGTAAAAGTTTTTCAAGTATCAGGATAATCTGGTTTGGATTAAACAAAGAGGATCTCCTGGGGAAGATTACTTGGTCAGGGAATATCTATGTAGATTGAAGCAAACCAAGAGAAGAATTCAATTAATTGTGATTGGGACCTGACAAAATTTAAAGTTTTCAAATTCAGTATTAGTTTTGCAAATAGTTAATTCCTGTTCTCACTGAAGAAACTGTTTTATTAATCAGATAAGAAAGTATTTGGCAACCCAGCATCATTTTGAAATGTGTAATGTTGTTGCTTCTAGTCAAAATAGGATTGTTGTCATCCATCACCTATATGTTTGGCTTGCCATACCTATGCAAATTGTTCTTTGTTACAATTTGCAAGCCTTTTCCATGGACTTGTACTATCATCCAGATTCTTCAGTTCACATAAAATACATGGAAATCTTTGGGATCCCTTAATGAAGATTTAGGATGAAAGATGTTCTACTGGTAACATATTAAAAATTCATTTTTAACAGAGTTCAGTTCTATTTAATACTAATTCCACCCTCTTTTTCCTTCAGTTTAGTGTGCAAACTGAATACAAGGACCACAATTTTGGCAGCAACCAATCCAAAGGGCCAATATGACACTAATGAATCCATCTCTGTCAACATAGCCCTTGGAAGCCCTCTTCTTAGCAGGTTTGATCTTGTTTTGGTATTGTTGGATACAAAAAATGAAGAATGGGATCACATAATTTCATCCTTCATACTGGAAAATAAAGGTAACCTTTTTATATTACTTTTTATGGAATTATGTGAATCAGTTTGTCACTGATCATAATAAAGTTTTATGCACAAATAAAGGTTTCCCTTGCCTTACGTGAATTCACTTTGTGTAAAGTTACTATTGTGAATCTGTTTAAAAATTCCTATTATGCAAAAAGAAAAAAAATCAATGTTATTTGTGCCAACAACATCTGGAAATATTCAAAACTTCTCACTAAAATTGCTTGAACAGTTCCCTATCAAAACCTCTTTCTACTTCACTCGCACATTTACTCTCATGTTGTGCAGTTGTTCTAGTTGTGCATCCTGGCTTCTACTTATTTTCATATTGGCCATGTACTCAATGCTCAAAATGGCTATCAACATTTTCCCCAATCCCCTTACACAAAATGAAAACAAAGACATCTCCAACACCAAACCTTGGGCGTATTATATCACACCAAGCTGATGAAGGATCATCAATGGATCATCATCATAAGTCAAGTTTTTCATCAGGGTGATGTTATTGTGTGCAACAGAGCAAAGAATGCTTTTTTTCATTTTCTGTTTGATACTACCATACTGTAAGGTATTTTCCATAAACTAGTGATCTCTATACGAGATATATAGATATATGTTTAGTATTTAGTGTTTTACTATTTTTAAAAATTACCTTGTTTTCCCTCCTTTTTTATTCTGGTTGGGTTATTGTAGTAAAAAAAAAACAGTTTTTACTTTTCAGTATTTCTTTCACCATTTTAGTTTGGTATTGTTACATTCTGTTTGTTTTTTTGTATTCTCACTTTAAAATATAATGAAATAGATACGATAATAATAACTAGCAACAATGAAAGAAATACCATTTGCCTGCAAGCAAAAACTTGTAGGACCACAAAATGGACAAGTAATAGGAAATAAAAAAGCTAAAATACTCTGGGACATTAGAATTCAAATAGACAAGCACCTGCCACATAACACTCCACCCTTAACCATTGTTGAAAAGAAAGACAAAAAAAAGTTTGAATGGTGGACGTCACATATCTGGAGACAACAGAACAGAAAGGAAAGAACTGGGGGGAGGGGGCGGTCACAAAATACAAAGACCTGAAAATTGAAGAAGGATGACTAGAAAAGAAGACAAAGATATCACAAATAGTAATAGGCACCTTGGGTACAATCCCAAAACATCTGGAGTACCAGTACAAAACCATCAGCAGTAACACAAATCACCATCGGTCAATTGCAAAAGACAGTTTTACTTGGAACTGCTTACATCCATGATTATACCTTTAATAGTATTATACAATATCTCCCTGTCTTATGTCCTTGGGAAGAACTCAGTAAGTGGATACAAATGCCAAATCCAGTCTAAATATTTGGCTGTGTGACCAATATTAATACGAATAGTATGAGACCATTGCAAAGTGGATTACAATAGCCAAGGTGACTTGTTATGCTAAGCAATTTTTTCCCCCCCAAATTTTCAAATAATAAGGTTTTGACACTCTGGTATGTGAATCTTGCATAGTCATTCATAAGCTACAGATAGGACTTAGTGATAGGATGAATCCAGCCAATGCAGATCATACAGTGAACCACAAATAAGTAAGCGGAGGCATAGCGAAGGGTCAGAGTTCAACCAGTGAGATAAACTTAACAACCCAAGCATATTACATTGAAGAGAAAAATTCAAATTTATCAAATACTATTATTGAATGCTGATTAGGTTTTGGATTGGTCAGAAAACCACTTCTGTGAGACTAAGCCTAGAACACTCCCTCTCCCCCCCCCCCCCCAGTGCTATCATGCATATAGTGTTGTTGTTGCTTTATTATTTAATTGTTTTTTCAGGCTGCCCAAGCACATCTGAAAAGCTCTGGTCTATGGAAAAAATGAAAACTTACTTCTGCCTTATCAAGAATCTCCAGCCAACACTGACCAATGAAAGCCACCTGATCCTTGTTCGCTACTATCAAATGCAGCGGCAGAGCGACTGCCGGAACGCAGCCCGAACCACCATCCGCTTATTAGAGAGCTTGATCCGGCTCGCTGAAGGTGAAACCTCTTCTTTCCCCACTTGCTTTTCCAACAGCTGCATTGCACAGAATTAATTAACAAACACACATTAAAGAAATGTTGCAGTCAATATTTTACCCAGTTCGATAGATTTGATTTCTAAAGTCAAATGCTATTGTCTACCTCCAGAGGCCACCAAAATAGCTTTCTTTGTTTTGACGTGTTTCAAGGGCCAAGATGTCAAAAGATTCTTGCCCTATATATAAATAGGTTATAAATGTAAATGTAAAGTTTCTTCATGCATGCATAATATGATCAAGGCAGAAATTTCCAGCTTACTCGTATGTGAGTTGAAACACAGAAAAAGGAGATATTACATTTTGTACTTTGTTTATTATGCTTTGTACTTTGTTTATCACAGAAGCACACTATGAGCAGCTATGTGTGTGTGTAAGATTTTCTTATTAAAAGAAGATTTTACATAAGATTAAAAACTACAGAAGCACAAAAAGAAAAATAGAAAAAAGATACATTAGTAGAATAAAAGAAAAAGTGAAGGACAAGGAAAGAGAACGAAAAAGGAAAATAAATTGAGCATAATAAATTGTTCTACATTGAAAGACATCTGGTCACATGTATTCAATGGCCTTACATAAAGTCTTCTGCTGTTTCTGGAATGGATTACAATACAGCAATTTGGAACAGAATAGGGTTACATACATTTCCCCAGAATATAACTGAGGGATTCTCACCATCAATCCTCAATTGTTACCAGTGACACAATAGCCTTTTTGTTTCGTACTGGGTGTGTGCTCTTATATATACTCTGAAATAATCCAAGCTTAGAAATTATGGCTGCTTTTTTTACCTGGAAGCTGTAAGCAGTTAGGGATATTAATAATTTTGACTTGCTTAAGTTTATAAAATACAAAATAACAGAGTTGGAAGGGACCTGGCAGGTCTTCTAGTCCAATCCCCTGCTCAAGCTGGAGACCTTATATCATACTGGACAAATGACTGTCCAATCTTTTTAAAACTTCCAGTGATGGAGCACCCACAACTGCTGAGGCAAGCTGTTCCACTGGTTAATTGTTCTCACTGACAGGAAATTTCTCCTTAATTCTAGATTGCATCTCTCTTTGTTAAGCTTCCATCCATTAGTCCTTGTCTTGGTTGGTGGGTGGTTCTCATTGGGAAATATAAAAGGAAAGAATGTGATATACACCATCTGGAGCTCCTGATCAAAAGACAGGATATAGAAATAGTATTTAGACTTCTATACTGCTTCATAGTGTTTTACAGCCCTCTCTAAGCAGTTTACAGCATATTGCCTCCAACAATCTGGATCCTCATTTTACCAGTCTCAGAAGGATGGAAGGCTGAGTCAACCTTGAGCTGGTGAAAATTGAACTGCTGCCAGTGAGCTGAATTAGCCTGCAATACTGCATTCTAACCACTGCGCCACCACAACTTTTTTTTTCATCTAGTGTGGACTAAGGTGTTTCGAGGTATAAATATTAAAAGATGTGTATGTGAAATAGAGATGCTTCTAATAAATAGGAAGATGATTCTAATAGGTAGAGAAATAAAGTGACAGATATGTACCTGTATTAGATATGTTTGTTTATTTATGATATACCCCATTTTGAAACCTTACATGCACAGCAAAAGGGAAAATAACAGAAATAAAACAAAATAAAACAGGATAGCACAACAATTCCAGAGGAGAACAAGATTTTAACTACGTCAGTAAATTGCCCTTTCATTGATCACTTAACTCTAAAAAGCAGCTGAAACAGCTGTGCAGTATTGAATACCTGTGACTAAATTAAGCTAGTAAATACATTCCAATTAGATTAGATTAGATTAGATTAGATTAGATTACATAATAGATTAGAATAGAATAGAAATAGAGGTATATATAGGTATTGGGTGTTCTTAATAAAACTTAGGTGTATGTGCATTTAATTTATTCCATGTAACAATTTACTCATCAACTTTTATAGATTTTCTTTAATACCTGTTTTTCAGCACATGCTCGATTGATGTTCAGGGAAATTGTAACTGTGGAAGATGCAGTAACAGTGGTTTCAGTGATGGAATCCTCCATGCAGGTAAGTTTGCATATATGCTATAGGTAACAGATACAATTGTCTATAATATAAGAGACCACAAACTAGACACTTTTTAAAAAAATAAAATACATGTTCTCCAATTTAAAAAAACAAACATATTCTCCACTTTCCAGATCTTGTCACTTTGCATAAAAGTCCATTCCTGGTCATAGTCAGTTATGGAAATTGGAATGTGTCACATCCATGTACCTCACAAGTAAATTTTTCTGCATACACAATATTGTTCTGCTTTAAATGACTTTTTGAGACCTTGCTGTGTGATATTTATATAATATGAATACTATTTGTGGCAAGCCCAAAGAAATGACCTTGGAGAAGCAAGGTAGAGTTGAAAGCATATTTAAACCCAGGATACAGAGAAAGGGTGAGCCGTTAAGTCTCATTCCTCCCAAATTCATTAGAGTCTGACCTTCAGATTTTTGTTTCTATAGCCTACGTCAACATGGTTTCAGCTAGAATTGGGGAGCCTGATTCTTGACATGCTCCACCTCGAAGGGATCAAAGTGGGTTTAAGTGGGTTTTGCCCCATTTTACAACATTTCTTGCTGCAATTTTGAAGTGAATCACTGCAGTTAATTAGTAGCATGGTTGTTAAGTGAATCTGACTTCCCCATTGATTTTGTTGGTCAGAAGGTTGCAAAAGGGGATCACATGACCTTTGGACACAGCAGCAATCATAAGTATGAACCAGTTGCCAATCATCTGAATTTGGATCACATAGTCACGGGGATGCTGCCAAGATCGTCAGTGGGAAAAACAGTCCTAAGTCACTTTTTTCAGTGCTGTTGTGACTTTGAACAGTCTCTAAATGAATTATTATAAGCCAAGGACTATGTTCAAAATGAGGAAAGTGGGTTGTTTCAAACATGGGATAAGCCATTTTATGGCAAAAGCGCAGGGGGGCATGGGTATGGGCACGCTTTTGGCACATGAGGACAAAAAGGTTAACCATCACTGTGATACGGGGTGGGGGATCTGGGTGCGTAAGTACAGAAAAAAGTAGTTCATACCAGCTCTTCTTTCCTCTCAGCAGCTCCTGCCGTTAAACATAATTTCTAGGTCTCAAGTTTTAATGAATTAAGAGCCTCAGTTTATGGAAATGTTCTTCTTTCCTCAAAATAATCAATTGTGTACTATCCCTTTTTGTTTGGGAGTGGCCCATGTCCCCCTAAGGCTTCTCAGGAGCAGAACAGGGGATGGGAAGCCTTTTATTGATTAAAAGTCTATGAGATTCTCAATCATCCAGATCATGGTTATTTCAAAGATGCCTTTCAAAAGGCAGTTGGACTTCCTTGGATTTTTTTTCCCTTGAAAGCTTCCTTTTTTAAAAAATTACCTTATTTAAGATCGAAGTCAAAGGTTGTGAATATTTTCTAGGCCTTATGTAACGTCCCAAGGATGCAAACTCCTAAGGTTTTTTGGAAAAACATAATTTTGCTCCATGCTTGCAAACTTTACCAAGTTTTTACTATGTTTAATTTAACAGAATAACAGAGTTGGTAGAGACCTTGTAGGAATTCTAATCTAACCCCCTGCTCAGGCAGGAAACATTATCTACCATTTCAGACAAATATTTAATTTAAGAAGTTTTCACAGAAAACAGTTTTTACATCACAATTCTTGTCTTAATTCAGGGAGGTGCACTTCTTGGTGGTGCCAATGCACTCCACACTTCCTTTCCTGAAAATCCGATGGAACAATATAGAATGCAGTGTGAACTAATCTTGAAAAAGCTGGAATTGGAACACCTTCTGCAGGAGGAATTAAGAAGGCTTGACAGGTGCAAAATATTTATATTTGGCAGGAAAAACATCAGCTTTAAATCAGATGACACATCAGCTCCTATGACAATGTGTGATGTGATGAATATTAATATTTTCTTGTTAGCCATGGTCTTGAAGGCATGTGGATGAAAATAATTAACAACATAAGAGAGAATCGTTCTGTTATTTATATTCAATACCAATATCAATACCTAGTATTGCAGTCCTAAACACATGACAGAAAAATCTTCATTTATTCCTGAGTAAATAAACACAGAATTTTACTGCAGAAGAATGCTTTGCTTGAATATTATTCACAGGTAGTCATCAACCTATTACCGAATGCTTTACAGCTGTTTACAGCTGTTTGAAGTTACGATGGATTTCCCTACAGCTACTTATGACCCATATTTAAAGTTACAATGGCCATACTTCAACCCACAAAGTCACATGATTGCATTTTGGGCACTTGGCAACCAGGTTATTCTTGTGGCTGTTTTCAGTATTCTGCAGTCATGTGAACACCCATTGGGGAAAATGGATTCATTTAACAATAGCATTTGCTTAACGATTACAGCAGTCGCTTAACAACCACTGCAAAAAAATGTCCAAAAATAAAAATGGGTCAGTTCATGTGACTTATGCAAATGACTTAACAACCATAGATCTGAATTCAATTACAGTTGTAAGTCGAGGACTACTGTATTCACAAAAAGCAAATCTTCTAGTCTGATTTTTAACTCAAATTCCTAAAGTCATGGTTTACTAATGTTTGCACCCATAAGAAAACATCACTTCTATGTTTCAAAGTTTATAAAAATGCAACTTATTTTAGCAAAAAATATTTTCCTTTTAATTTTTTTTAGGTTTTTACAGAATGGAAATTTAAGCCCATCTCTGCAATGCATAGGAGCATCTTTAAATAATGACATGTTTGGGGAATTAGAGCAGAGGATTCATTCCCAACATTCAGAAAAAGAAGAAAATAACATTCAGTTTCAACCTTTCTCAGCCAAAGTAAGTTCTGATGCTGATACGCATCTGGGATTCCCAACCAGACAAGAATCTAATGATGCCCAAGTAAGAGAAAAATTGAAGAGTCTTAATGAGAGCAACAGTGATAACACTTTGAATTGGTTTGATAGTATAGCAGAAGGTAACATGGAAAGTGAGAAGGTCACTTGTGATTTTCCAGTTGCAGTAACATCTCAGGACAATCTGGCTTTGGAAGCAACAAATAGTAGATCTTCTAAAAAGACCAACTGTTTAAGAGAAGCTGAGCAAACCAAGAAGAGGGAATCAGTGACAAAAGAAGACCAGGGGGACTCTTGTATACAGACTATTTTTTCCTTTGAGAGGATACAAAAGCCTATAAACTCCCCTTCAGGGGCAAGCCATAAAGGTTCAGGTGCTACACCTGGCACACCTAATTCAGTCATTACTCAAAGAGCCTCTAAGAAGTGGCGGAAGAGAAACATTGAGAGCATCCAGAGATTTTGTATAAAAACAGCAGATTCCAAGACTGAGGATCATCAACCTCCATTATCTTCTCATCCTGCAATTATCCCAAATTGCCCTGGAAAAGATACTGGAGCTTCTCCGTATCACAATGTGCCTTCAAGGCACTTGACATCAGCAACATTAAATCGGAAGCGAAATAGAGACCAAACCAACAAAGTAAGAAATTGCAATGAACCTGCCGTCCCTGAGAACTCAGAAGCTGCCCCTGCTAAGTTCTCTAAATTTTCCTTTCAACGAAAGCCTAAGCTAACTCTGTCTCCTGAAAATGAGGGACATCACACGTTACAGGAGACTATTTACAACCCTGACCTTTTTACCCCAAGTACATCGAAAGGAGAACATCTGACGGAAGAAGATCCTGATAAACATCAGGGAAGCCATAGTCTTAACACAGGAAATACGGCCAAGGAGAAACAAGCCGGTGAAAACAAGAAAGAGGAAGAGAAGCCAAAGCCAGCTAAGGCCACCGCCATTTCTTTCACAAAAACACCAGGGGCAAGAATAGAACATGGGGACCGTCCAGACTCAAGAAAAGTGTGCTCCAGCACTTTGGCAAAGCTAGCAAAATTTGCCTTTACACCATCAGATGAATCTCCAGTTTCCTTGAATATCACCACTAAGGAAAAAATGAGAGAAAGGCAGCCATTGAAGACTCAGAAAGATTGTGCAGAACCCACCCGGAAGTGCTTTGAATTAGGAGGCACACACAGAATTCCAGGGAAATCATTGTTCTCAGTAACTGATTTGGACGATGCACTCTTGGACTTTGACTGGGATGGAGAGGTTCAGAAATATGCTAAAACTTAAACCTTAATGCCTGCTACCTTCTCAAAAATATATTGTGGTACTTTTATAAATGCTTTAATTTCTTGATGGGGGAATAATGCTGCAAATAATAAGCAACCTAACAGATTTTTTAAAATTGAATCGGGTTCTAAAAAGACCATGCTCGTACAACACACTTGCAAAAATGTGATGCTATTGGAATGCTCAAAGTGAAATAAACTTGGTGCTCTCCAACTCACCAGGTAAAGGCAACAGCCCTGAAAAATACACCTCCTTCCTGGGTTTTCTCTTCATTGAGAGCTAGTATAAATACTAGCAGTATTGGGAAATCCGGTGGTAGATTGGGAATGTTTCTCTTTTTTATGTCTGTTTAAGCATATGGGTTTGATAGAGGACACACATCATGTTAAATTGAGTTACAGTATCACATTTTTGCATCATTTTGTGTCAACATGCGCAATGTCACTTGTCTTCCTTCCTGCAGATATCCTGTGATATTAAGACCTTTCCAACAATGAGCTTCAGATTTTCAGAGGACATTGTTCAGGGCCTAAGGTTTATGTGGACTAGGGGTGTTATATTCCATGATCAGGACAGAGATGTATAAAACTACAGCTTTAAGGTAGTCAAGTCTGCAGAACTAGTACGGATCATCGGATTGAAAAGCAATGAGTGAGAGACTATTTCATTTGGATGTTTCCCTAACATATAAATCCATACATTATTCAATTAGCATATTTTGGTGAATTATGAGATGAAGAATACATATTGAAGACACACACATTAAAGTTTTTTAAATTATCTGAGCTTTCTTCTTAGCACCCCATAGAAATGTGTGATTTCAATTTTGTATTCAAGTAAAATGAACTACAAAATCTTTGAAAAGTGGGAGGGGCCCTCCCTTCTTTAACGTCTGTTTCACTTTACCATATGTTTGTCTAGCTCCGTTTCATAATGAATACTGATCTATGACTTTAATTAGGTAACAGATAACATTTATTATGTTGGGCTCAAGTAGGAGCTTCAATTCTTTGTTAAAAAGGACATTTTAGCTGCTAAAGTTTGTAAGCCAATGTAGCTATTAAAATTATTAATGTGGCAATTTACTTCAATTAATATGTATGATTATCACTGCTTTCCCCCAATAAAATGTCAACCAATTGCTGTCCTCAGTTCATTTTTAGTGCCATGCTTTGCTTTACAGAGGATGTATAAAATGCTCTGAGAATTCCTCTCCCTAATTCAATAATCCAATGAAATTGTAATAAATTGTATATTGAACAACATCATACATGACAGTATCTCCTTTGCTTTCCTTGTATTGTCTGGGATCTAATCTGAAATTTCATATCGTTTTTTGAAATTTAATGTAGGAGATTTATTCATCTCTTGCTGATTTAGACACAAGTTAAAGTGTCAGTGTGATGGTCTCATTCTTAAAGCTCCTTATCTACACAAGGTCTTCGACTACATCATCCACAAAAGGAGAACATTTCAGTCACTTGGAAAGTTATAGTACTAAGGGAATGAATAAAACATCAAGCAAAACTCCCAAGTTGGGAGGATTCATGTCGTGACTTACCTAGTTTTGACTTTTGGCATCATTGTGATTATGAACTGATTGCCCACAGCTTCTGGATGTGTGCTGTGATCAGACTGGTGTTACCTAGAAACACCCACCATAATTAATTTTGGATTCATGGAAACAGCGGAAGGAAGATTTACCAACTAATAGAAACAAGGGAGAATAATGTTGTATACCCATGATGGCAAACCTATGGCACGCATGCCAGAAGTGGCATGCAGCACCCTCTGTGGGCACGTGAGCCGTTGCCCCAGTTCAGCTCCGCCACACATGCCTCCCACTGGCCAGCTGGTCTTTGAGTCTGTCGCACATATGAGGGGGGGGGCAGAGCACATGTGGGGGGCCACACATGCATGCGGGGGGGCAGCGTGCATGCAGGGGGTCCATGCATGTGCGGCAGGCAGGGAGCATAAGGGCCATGTGCACAAGCATGGGGCAGGGCATATGTGTAGGGGGTGCACCTGCATTGCACTTTAGTTTGAGCACAGGCATGCACATTTGCTTGTGCACATGTGCACTGTGGGTACTGTGGGCATGTGCACTTGGTCCAGAAAAGGTTAGGGTGGTTGTATACACTCGGAAGGGTGTTGCATTCGGTTGTCCTTTCACAGATTGGCATTCTTCTATCATAAAATAGCTGCTTGGTTGATCACAAACAAGGATGCAGTTTGTGAATCAGAACCACATCCTGTTGGTTCATCAGTCATCCAATCTTTGTCAAGACTGTTTTTTTTATCCATCTCTAGATCAACTTAATAATATCCACTTAAATTCAGCACAAACCCCATTCCTTACTAGCATTGATTGTGTTACCTAGGCAATGAAAGTCTGTAAGAAAACAAACAATTCAGAGAGCCCCAAGAACTCTTCATTTTAATCCTGAGCAACAAATATTTAGCTTTATTGGCAACATCCAGTTACTCATTCCAAAACTGAAAACAACGTGAGGTTTTAGATGAGTATCAAATAATTTCTAAAGCCAATGCAATGGATTATGAAGCATGTTGCAGTTTCTTAAGAAAAAGAGAGGCGAGGTAGGTAAACTTCGGCTTTAAACCACGTGATTTTGAAAATCAAAATAGCTTCCATTAGGTTTGAAATCTCTTACTCTCTGCTAAGACTTAATACAAGATTTATCTTCCAAAGCACTGCAAATATACATTGGTTTCCCTAAACTTTTTGTATTAAAGCCTTGTCACTCCGCATGGAACAGTGAAGCACACAACGGCCCCTGAATTTTCGGAGATATTTTCTAACCACCAGGAGGTGCTCTAACTATTTCAGTAGACATTTAACAGCTAAATCTGACTTCTCTTTATATATCCCTGCTTCCTTTCTCTAGAACTGTACCGTCTTTAATACTCTTTTCTTAAGGCTCTATTCTATGCATAAAACGAACTGTTCTATTATAATAATAAATGTATTTTGTTGTTAAGGCATTGCAAGAGTGTTGTATTGCTTTTGTGGTAACATACCAGCAGTATCACAGAGTTTTGGAAAGTGTGTTTTTGTGTGGGTGTGTGGGTGTGGGTGAGAGAGAGAGAGAGAGAGAGAGAGAGAGAGAGAGAGAGAGAGAGCTTCTGTGGGTTGAAGGCGGATTAGAAACTGGATCTCCCCAGTCCTAGTCAACAAGACAACAGTGTACCCACATAACATCAGTCAAATCCTGCTGTTGGCTCTTTTGGTTTGGATTGATGGAAACTAGTCCAACATATCTGGTGGTAATACGTTGGAGTAGCTATCAAAACATTGCAGACCTGTTCATTAACTAGATATGTAAAAGATTTATCTATGACACATTTATTATTAAAATGTTCTTTTTTATTGTTTTTTCCTATCATTTAAAGTCTTCCTCCTTTGCAGTTGACTTCCTTTAAATATTCAGTTTTTGTGGGCATAGTAATAGGTATAATAGTATATTTTCATGGAGTTTTAATTGCTTTGTGTGTCTTTAGGCCTATCCCCAAAAATGATATTAGACAGACCTTCACCAACAATTGCTAATTTTTTGAATAATTAACTTTTTGTTGCAAGAGAATTTTATTTCTCAATTTGTGAGTTTTATACTATTGTTTCAAGCTAAGACCTATGCTGAGCATTATTGAAAATATCATTTAAACATTCTCAAATATTTTCTTGCTCAATTTTTCTTTGTGCAACAACATAAAATACTGTTGGTAATAAAGATGAGACTGGAAGCTGATACTGAACTTTATAACTGTAGAAAGCACAGACACCCCTCTCCCAGAAAAATGAAATATCCTAGGAAATATTGCAAAGGCAGAATATTATATTTCCGTGGATCAGGAATGGAGAAACATGTTTTTAGGCAGGAAACAGACTCATTCTTAATAGCCCCCACTTTTCTTAATGGGCCATTAAAATGCCCAAGCCAGTCTATTCTACATAACAAAGAGTTCCTCCCTTCAGCTCCAGGGGATGAGATTAAGGCATGATTAGCCCTTTATCCATCTCACCACAGGGCACCTGGGAAAAAGCAATGCTCAACCAAACTTGATTGAAAGCACAANGGCTCAAGGTTGACTCACCCTTCCATCCTTCCAAAGATGATAAAATGAGGACCCAGATTTTTGGGGGCAATATGCTCATGGTAAATCACTTAGAGAGGGCTGTAAAGCACTGTGAAGTGGTATATTATGAGGTGCTATAGGTTGGAGGGCTGGATGTTGTAAAGATCCATGGGGTGGTGAGAACGGTATGTCAGCAATGTAGGGAAGAGAATTGTGTGTTAGTGAATATTTACAGAGAATACTGAATTTTAAATCTTTGATGACTTTTATAGTACATTTGTCTGTGTGTGTGTGTGTGTGTGTACACACATATACATAACACACAGAGAGAGTTATTGCCCATTTTAATCTGACGATAATAACAAAAGCAGAATAAAATTTTTGATTCATTTATTAAATATTCTATCACCAGATGATTTTACGGCACTCTCTCCATTAAATTTAACTTTTTTTCATTATTTCATTTCCCACAAAGTAAGAAAAATGCCTCTCTTCCTTCAGAAAAGCATTTAGTACAGGGGTTAAATTCATTTTCCTCCTTGCTGTAAATAATTCAGTTAGAGACTCCCAAATGAACTAACTTTTGCTAGCTAATCATAAACACATCAAACACAAAGATAATCTCTGGCTCCATTTTCTACCCACTGGGATAAAAATAAATCAAGGATGCTTGCTTATGACTCAGGCATAGAATTTGCCTGCAGAGAGATGCAGGCACCTTGTGTTATCTTGACAACAGGGCAGCTTTAAACACAGTGCCATAGGAAGGCATCCTTGAGTGGCCAAAATCATTGCTCTTCTTCCCCAACATATTTTCTGTTCCTTTTGGTGCTTATGTTGAGATACTTCACTTTACTTTGTTCTTTCACAGACTTTAGCATTCAGATCCCAAATCAGCTCTTATCCTTTTATTGGAATTCCAGAGTGAGAGTTTGTTTGTATGGATTTTTATTAATGTAAAGAAGGGCTATTAAACTCGCTGCCCACAAGCCAGATAAATCATGCGCTGGCCACACGCATATCCGCTTTAGGGAAGGGGGGAAGTCACGATACATCATGTGACAACACTGTGACAATGCGAGTTTGACATTCCTGATGTAAAGTGAACCAAGGTTGATTTAAAAAAAAAGTGTATGTTAAAAATAAAAGTTGTCATATGTACATCCAGAAACTTTTATTTCCTCAATAGATAGATGAATCCTCACTCCTTAATAGCACACCTGGGATCAAGGTGCAAGCTTCTGCACCAGGTAAGTGATCTTTACACTTCAGGCTACTTTCTAAAGCCTTCTTGGTCAACCTTAGAACTTTTTTGGTCCCCTTCAGGTCTAACTAGCTCAAAGACATTTGACTTCCAGGGAAGATATGACATAGGCAGATGACTCAAGCCACCTTATTAATGTTGACATCACTCTTGGTTGCAGAGCATTGTGAGAAATCATAGGTGTTACTATATGGATTCTCCAATATTGTTTTGAATATTGTCAGACCAGCCATA